ACTCTAAGATTTTCGACTTTTATACATGTCCTTAAGGTTGTAAAAGTAAATAAAACACCATTACTGAGCCAAAAAATGAATTCAGGCCAAAGCTTGTTTTTAATCTGGCTTGGTATTGGTGAGAGCTTGTATATCAAATCACTTTTTCTTACACAGCCGCGAAGCTAGTGGCAATTCCGGTGAGGCAGAAGGTGCAGCCGATGGAGCGGTTCCAGGTCACCTGTCGGTCGACCCCCTCGCGACGGATACCAATCGCACGGTTTCCTTCCACGGGTATGCTGGTGGAGCAGGACTCGCGCTTCGTGGTGACTCGGCCCCAACCCGGGGAGATGGTTATCATCGCACCTCACGGCCTTCCTCAGCAGAATGAGGCTGTCCTCATCGAGTAGGCCTTTTGTCAAAATCAACGTTAGCGAAAAGTGAAATCCCATTTAGTCGAGGTGAAATTTATCACAGACATTTATCATAAATCAATGCAGAAAAATGTATTTTCGAGTGATTATACATTGAATAGGAGCTGGTGTGAGTTCGTTCGACTTGGACACGTTTACCTTAAACTTCAGATCAGTCAATGTTTTGTTAATCGACTATCTCCGTATTGCCAAACTTAATATTTGGGTAAAGGTGTTCCATCAAATACGAGTCGGATAAACCGAGGTATGGAAGTTATAATTAAATGTGAATAACTCAGAACGGTTGTAAAAAGTTAAAATTATTAAAAAGGTACATTTGCAGGCTTTTTACCTAACCCAAACTATACTGAATACTAAAAAGAATAATTGAATCCAGGCAATTGGCTATATAGACCTTACTCGGGTAGTACCTTTGGTAGTGTTAACCAATAAACAGTTCTAAAAGCATTCACTTATTTCTTTTTAAGCTTAGACAGAACTTCAGATTTCTAAATATTCGTTTTCAGATGTTTTTTCCCAAAAGGGGGCACGCGAACTGCATTGGTGATGGTGAAAGCGACAGCCAGTGATGTCGCGTGTTCGGAGGGTTTCCGCTGTGGTGACGGATCCTGTATTCCTCCTTGGCAGCAGTGTGATGGTCAAATTAATTGCATTGATGGCCTGGACGAAGTGAATTGCCGTAAGTGGGATCTCCCACTGATCCTTTGCGATGACTCCTCAAGCTCTTCAACGTTGTCTTCGATGCCAACGTTCAGGTTGATGGTTTTCCAAACATTTAAATTTACAATGCAAAATTTGGCACCTGAGACTATTAAAATAGGGTTTTACTGAAGGAACAAACGCTGTGTTAATAATCCGCTGGTTGAGGGAGGAATTAGAGATTCTTTTCATGCAAATACAATTTTAAGTGGTTCGTATAAAGTAAAAGCAGAAATGAACTACTTTTTAACTGAGCTTCTTTTTACTGAATTTAAACGTATGAATTACTACAAAAGGGACCTTTACTGATAAAATTTGATTATCTAATGAGCTGTTTTTGATACCATTCAACTAAGGATGCATGAATGAAGACTTCAGACCTACCTGTCAATTGCTCCAAATTTAATAAGGAATACGTATCTGGCAAAGAATTGCATCGTCATACAAACATCACCTTGGCATGAAGATTTAAAAGCTGAATATACCACGAGCACATTGTATTAGTGGTTACTTCGGCAACTAATGTTATATTTCTAGGGATTATTTTCGCCAAACGCACTTTTTCCATCACTCACAAAATACCGTTAGATGCAAATAGGCAATGAACACTCCATGAATTAAGGCAATTGTTAATTTTTGGAATATTTAACCTTTTATCTGAATACGGCTTTTGACGATTAAGTAGTTTGCTGTAAAACGAACATGTGTTAAAGTAAAAATGGGATTACAAATTGAACCAAATCTTTTGTCATGCTCGATTTAGAAAATAAATATTATTTGAGCTAATTTGAGGATCTACCCTCCTAATGTGATGAACTTCGTTAAATATGCAACGTACCTCAAAAAGGGTTTGGAGGTTCGTCAATGGTAAATCCAACTGCAACCTCAGCCCCTACGGGTGTACCTTGCCGACCGGGAGAGTTCCGCTGCGTTGGCGATCGGTGCGTGGGGGCGTCGAAAAGGTGTGATGGCCTAATCGACTGCCCAGACGGCTCTGACGAGGCCAACTGCAAAGGTATGATGATTCATGCGAATACATACTCCAATATTAACCTTTGGTGCATAACTTTCTTGAGCTTATTTGACACCTTCGTTAAGCTATTTTGCTTATAGACGCCATAAAAATAAATCAAGGGGACAAGAGGAAACCAAATTTGCTCATTTACGGTCGATGCATTCGCTTAAAATGGTATGTTACCCATGCGCTCACTCATAAGTATCGAGAAAAGCGTTAAACTTCTGTTGGATATTCACGGTAATCTAGATACAAGAGAGTAACTAAACCAAATGCAAATATTTATGCTATGATTTCACATACA